ACTTTGTGTGGGACTGACAGACTTGATTCATGGTGCAATGTTAGCATGTTGCTAAACTAATAATGAAGCTTTCTACACAGTGTCAACTTGATTAGCGATATTAGCATGTTGCTTTGCTTATGATTAAATCCTGCTAAACATAAAGCTTGTTTGTTTGATCTGGCTGGTTTAAGCTGCTCTCCCAGCCTGGCTAAATTGGTCAAGCTAGTCTCCCAGCTGAGTACATGCTAAGACAAGCCTGACCGATTTATTTTGCTTTAAAATAAGCATTCAAAAACACATTAAAACCTGTAATAGCCAGATTGGAGATCCGCTAAAACCAGCCAACCATTTTTTTACTCTGTATGGGATTAAGTCATAACTGATGTTGGTCTAATAAGCAATAAAAATACACAGAACACAAAAATACTGGGCAAAATCAATTTAGGCTCCACTGAAATGCTTTTTTTCAATGTCGGTTCTACACAGTGAATGTTAATATAGTTCATAAAGTAATGAATCTGTAGTCTAGACAGTGTCTGGTTCTTTTCCATAAAAACGTCTTGCTCATCTTGGGGAGAAGAGGAAAGGACTGCTGCACTGGGACTTCCTCTGCACTAAGCTGTCTCACTCATATCCCCATTTCCCTGCTATTGCTTTGTATGACTATTTACACCCAGGACAGCACGGATTAGGGGTGATTCATAGCGCACATGTGAGAGAATCTGTGCTTGTCCTCGATCGTGCTAATGCGTGCCGCTATAGTCGCTATGGATCGTGGCAGTTTCTCTATGATTGACAGTGATTGTTATTGAGCTTGCCCTTTATTCTTATCATGGTGCATCTGCTGATCAATGGACTTGAACAGCCCATGAATAAAGGCTGACAGTGGGAGAGGCGAGAGCTGCTAATTCACAACCAATATGTGATGAATGGACGCCCGAGACAACACACATGTCAGATATGACACTCAATATCCTCCATATTAATAACCTGGTGCTCCAGCCGTTTACAGATGCGGCTTGAGGTTAATTTGTTTTTTTTTTTCTTCAGGCTGTCAACAGATAGGAAGGATTGCTATAGGCCAGAGGCAATAATGGTCAGTCTAAGCTTGAATGGCATAAAGAAACTAGCTTTTGAAGAAATAAAAATTACATATCTTGCAGAAATGTATCAAAGTAGAAATTATATGAAGAGTTTAGATGCAAATGACTCTGAGTGAAATCTGAAATGAGGATTTTTTTTGTCAGGCTTCTGTGCATAGGTTTAGTAATTTCACCCTTATAGCAAAATAGGTACTTTTTTTTATATTTAAAGTGAAATAACGGAACATACACTCTCAGAAATAAAGGTATGTGAGTTGCCACTGGGGTGGTACCTTTTCAAAATGTACAAATTTCTACCTAAAAGGTCCATATCAATACTTCAAGGGTACATATTAGTACCTTAAAAGTGCAAAAGTGTTCCTCTTAAAATTTTTAGGTACTAATATATACTTTTTAGGTACCAATATGGACCCTTTAAGTACAAATGTGTACCTTTTAAAAAGATACCACCCAAGCGACAGCTCCTGTACTTTTATTTCTGAGAGTGTACTGTAAGAAAAAAATGCTCATTCTAGCAACACACTTTAAACGACATTTAAAGGTTTAAGACACCCTCGAGTACTTTTTTGAAATTTTAACAGATTTGTGTGTGTTAAGCATCGGTTAAAACAACGTTAGCACCTGTCAGCTTTAATTGTGGAGAAAACTGGATAGTTTGAGCATTTGTCAGCCAATTTCATCTTCTGAGTTTAAATCATTTTTGGGATCATAATTTGTGACGTAGCACGAAATCTGCTAGTGGAGTGATGAAGCGTCAGTTTCTCATTATTATTTACAGCGGAGTTGTCTTATCCTATGAAAAGAGCCTTGCTAATTAATTATTTATGACTGCACATGCTTTCTGAAGGCAAGACAGAGTTGCCAAGCTGTGAGAGCCATCGCACACATGTCCACGCACTGCATTGACCTTTATAATTATTTCCATGATCTATGGGGTTTGTTGCATGTTTTCCTGGATTTTCCCTGAGATGCTATCAGGGCCGATCCAGCAAAGCTGTTGGTTTGCAGCAAGCATTTTTGTCGGGAGAGCTGTAATAGAATTGGAGAATGGCAGACTTTGTCTTTTACCAGTTGAGCTTGTTCCCATTCAGACACATCACCAATATCTGTGCTGCTGTGTTCGCCTGTGTTTAAAATCATCCAGATTACCTCAGGGTTAATGGTTGGAATAGACAGGGCAAGAGACCTGCAGCAGTGCTATCCACTGTGTCTGCATTCAGACCTGGAGATTCAGGAGAGAAGTCCTCCTCACGGTTTGTGTCTCATTTTGTGAGCCAACTGACAACAGTTGTTCGCTCCCCACTTTCGCCCCTGCTCTGCCAGCCACACCCACTCCTCCCTCTGCTTGCAGCTCTCCACACCAATCTCAGAGCATTTTTTTGAAAAAATTCGGAGGTAGACTTGAACTGAAAGAATGGGGTTTCATGGCCCTTTAAATGCTTTTGCATCACAACTCTTCATATGTATATACTGTATGCATATTGAATATTTTAAGAAATAAGTAGGGATGCTCCAATCAGGATTTTTGCAGCTGATACTGAGTACCGATTTCTTGTCATGGTAACAGGCCGATACAGTGTACAAATTTGAATGTTTCAAGCTTTATGTAACTTTGCCATTGCATAAAGCACATTTTCCCTCTAAGTATGAAACTGAAGTGATCTCTCCTTACCTATAATAAACTAAAGATGCAGCATATAATCCTATACATTGTTATTACTGCATATAATCTTAAACATGTCTCTTATAGCTATATAGTGTGGACAGAATCAGCTTTGTAGAAAATAATAGATGGTATGCTGGAGACTTGCGGAGCTGAGGTCATATGGTTGGACACAAGATGGGGCTCCACTCATGTCACAGCTGCTCAAAACACTGGATATACAGTGGTTGTAACAAAGAGACCATAAGTCGTGCCGATAAACTGTATAAACAGAGATCACACCACATCTGTAAATATTTTAGCTGCTGTGATGCATGGGCAGCGGTCGCTTACGCCCCCACACGTCATTTACCTCCTCTCATGTGGTAGTGCTGCTATCTGTATAACCCAGGTGTGCATGTGCATCTTCCTCTGTTTGTAAACTAATAAACAATCACTTGCGATCAGTTCATAAGATCGGCTAGATTGGCGAGTATCGTTTGAGTCATTAAATGTGATTATTAACCGATACCGATCTTTGGCCGATCGATCGGAGACTCCTAGTAATAAGATGAAAACATAATACATATTGTTATGTATATTAGGATAAACAGTCTAACTGAAAAGAAAATCAAGAAAAAAAAAGGTCAATACTCAGATTCTCAATTCTTTCTCAATTTTTAGTTTTGACAATAATATTCAGACCCCTAGTTTTTCGCGATTCCGCGATCACTGAATCCAACACAAAAAACAAAAAAAAAAATATCCTACATTTAAATCCAAAATAATCGCAAAAAAAACCCCAACTAATTTTAAAAATTTACATGTGAAGTCATAGCAAAAATGACATATAGACATCCTGTGGTGCGAATTGGACGTTTTGGATGTGACCGTACTGAAGGACATTATTTATGCTTTACATGTATGGCTGGTAATATGATGTGCGTCAAATCGATAAAGCTAATTTGTTTAACTCTTTCCTTACAGTTAACGAGGGAAAACGCTTCCCTGCCATTGACAAGTTTTACGGCAATAAGTGTTTTAGGTGTGTTACGGTAGGAGAAGCCCTTGCACATGTTCTATGTGTGACATGATGTCAGATGCTCCAGGAAGTGAAATCTGAGAGAAAGTAAGATCGCGGAAAAAATAAAAGTCATTCAAACTTCCTTTGGCTTAATCCCTACCGTTTTAGATCTTGTCTTGATAAGAGACTAAAATAAAGAAACTCTATGTTTAGGATTTGTGTCATTGTGTCACATTGCATTAACATAGTAAGCTACCTAATATGGTAAATAAGATATGTATTTTTTTTACACACACACACATATATATATATAATAACAAAATTGTCATCAAATTTTTGGAAATTACCACCTTTTTTATCGCAGGAAACGTGTATATATATATATATATATATATATATATATATATATATTTTTTTTTTTTTTTTTTTTTGCACAAAATTGTCTCATTTTTTAATCGTAAGAAATAAAAAAAAAAAAAAAAAAAAAAACGTGACAAACTAGGAGGTCTGAATATTTAGTTTAAATTAAGATTGGTATACGAATACAGATTGTAAAGAGGCATTTATAATATATACTAATGATGAACTTTAAATATATAAAATAAGCAACTCAGTTCAGTGAAAACTGACAATACGACTGAACAATAGGATGTAATGAACATATAGTATATAAAATGTAGACAATTACATTTACATAGCATACTTTTTAAATATATATTTGATAATTATTTTTCTAACACATATACTGCAAAATGCACATAAAAATATGTTTATCTTTTTTCTTAAAAGTGCGTTAAACAAGATTTAAAAAGGATGTCAAACTACAAATCTGACAAACGAATACAAATGTAACCATTTTATTCAAAGTGTTTGCTTTCACGCGGAAAGCGCCTCAGTTCTAAATATGTTTCTCGAGGCTTAGAAAATAATGACTTGAGAAAATTGCAGGACTGTTCAAAGGAAATGTGCCTAGTAAAATACTACGTGTGGGAAGAATGAAAGGGAAAGCATATGTGGGGGAGATATATCCTGACACATGCGAATCTGAGCATTATGACTCCTTTCCTTCAGGGCCTTCCAAATGCAGAGTGACGGCTCTTTTTCAAGCTGGAAATGACAGATTTTATCCCCTAGGGTGGTCCGTCCTGTCAGCTCTTTTATTGCTGATACCAACTGGACATCTTGTAAAGCAAAATCCCTCATTCAGAAACAACAAGCCAACAAAAGGCCCGCCTCTCAGTGTAATTACCTGCGTAATGCTGTCCTTCAGGCTTGGCGAGCGCTGTCTGCGGGTGGTGGTGGTGGCCATAGTGGTGGTGGTTTCCATTATGGTGGTGGACATGTCCGCTGCTGCCGGAGGGGTGGCTGAGGTGGTTTCAGTGGACAGGACTGAGGGTGCATCCCCAACCAAGCGTAAATTTCCTGCCACCTGCACATTCGGATCCCCCTCGGCAGCCAGTTTCAAGACTTGCAGACCATTGTAGTACAGGCCTGAGATCTGACCCTGGAACGGCCGTCCCTTATCCTGACCTCCCACCTTTATGGCCGCCTGACTGTTGAAAATAGTCAACTGCCGACCTGAGACGGATCAGAGAGGAGATGGAGAAATAGAGAGAGCAAGATAGAAAGAAAGAAAGAGAAGTACGACAGCAAAGAGAGACAGAGAAGCAAAACGCGACCATCAGTGCAGGCCGTTGTGGCGGCAGGATGTGTCTAAATCAGCTGATAACACTTTTAACATTTGAACCTGGCGATGGAAATCTCCAATTCTAATAGTTTCTGACCCGGCTAGTGCAGGAGATGAGATGTTGTATTAAACATGATGGCAAAGATCAATCCCGCAGCCTGAGGTGGCTTCTTCTATAAGAGCAGGAATTATAGAATAATGGCTGTATATTATCATTTGAGCCTCATTAAGCTAGTAGGGCTTGAGCTGAGGATAATGATCTGACTAAGGACGACTAAATTGGAAAACAATATTTATGAGTATGTAAAGAGTTCTAGCTATGTTTTATTCAGAGACAGAGGCCTCGCTGATGCCAATCTGCATGAATAAGTGTCATCTGCCAGCTCAAATGCTAATGTGTCACTGAGGCTAGAAGAGTATCTCCTCCAGCCCCATGAACAGACATAGATGGGGGCACACACACACACACACACACACACACACACACACACAGGAACACACATACGCACACTATGCCTCTGCGTTGAGGATTTTTTCGTCCCCTGATTCTCCACCGAGCTGTCACTGAGCCATTTTGCATAGAAAACACCAGTGGTTGAACTGAGCTAAAGTTGAAGGCTATTAGGAAAATTAATAAACGTCAGTGCTGCAACAGGTAGTCACCGCGCTACAGGTTTAAGTCAAGCTGTATGTTAAGCAATCCTGCCAAACTTTAGATATCATTTAATGCCAACAAAAGCTTCAGAATGACTACTTAAAGAGGAAAAGGATGGTTAACTCAAAGTGCCATTTCCTTTGGCCCCTGAGAGCTGGACTGCCGCCATCCATTTAATCCTGATGAACAGGTACTCTGACAGAGCTGATTATGAAGTGGGCAGTTGTTATCCCCTCCGTGAGAGCCACTTAATGCTTAATGAAGGGTTGCCGTTTAACACAAGTAGGGTCTCCATTTTAACAGTTGAAAATAACCAAGTTTGACATGAGAGTGAAGATAAAAAGACCATAACCTCTGAAAGGCATGTCGTAATCGAGTGGGAAGAAGCCAGATGGCCATTTTACACTTCCACATGCTCTTTTATTGTACAGTGGAAGGCTGATCTGATTTATGTGAGGCACTAAGGCTGCTTACATATGGTGATATAATAAAAATGAGAAAAAATATAAATATAAATGCTTTTTTTTATCATTTAAGGAACTTAGGGTATGTTTACATAATAACGTTTTCAACTAAAATCCATAAAATATTTATTTATTTATTTATTTATTTATTTATTTATTTATTTATTTATTTATTTATTTATTTATTTATTTATTTATTTATCTATTTATTTATTTTTTAAAGAATATCACAATTGTCTGAGTTGGCATGAATAATACAGCATTTCTGTAGTTTCCATGTAAATGAGGATTGTTTTGAAAACGTGTATGCAAATCTATTCACAGATGTTAAGGGAAGCATTTCCATTTTTAAGTGCACTGTTGTCATGTAAACATACTCTTAAAGTGGTTTCCTTTTCCATTCAAACCTGCAAGTGTCTTGAGTCTTGTGGCTATGTCACACATATTTGTATTCTTGCATTAGAATTCTACATTTTATTGTCAAAATACAATAACGGTCAAAAGTTTGAGGTCAGTAGGATTTTAAAATGTTTTTATATAAGCTTCTCCTGCTCACCAAGGCTGTGTTTATTTGATAAAAAAAAAACAAAAAACCATTAACTGTAAAATTGTGAAATGTTGTTGCACTATAAAATGAATGTTCAAAAGTAGTTTATCATTTAATTTAATCATTTATTTCAGTGATTTTAATGATGAATTTTTAACCTAATTACTCCAGTCTTCAAAATAACATTATCCTTCAGAAATCACTCTAATATAATCAATATTATTTTATATTATTATTATTATTATTAATGGTAATAGTAAAAGCCGCCTTGATGAACAGAATAATTTTATTTAAATTATTAAATAAAATTACTAATTATTATAAAAAGTGACCCCCAACTTTTGACAGGTAGTTTAAGGAAAGTCATTGTGAAACAAATGTAATTGTAGTCCACTGACTTTCACTTTCATTTACTGCCTCAGTAAAATAATGAAAACAACAACAACAACAACATTTTATCAAAAAAATGAATAATAAAAAAAAATAATCATTAAAATTTGCTGCTCTCATGTACACATACTCTTAGTGTTTTATTTTTCACATTTTTCAAAGTCTGTACAAGTTTCTTTGTCATTCTCTCATATATATTTATATTCTGTTTTTGTCTATTCAGTGAAAGTCATTGGGAACCAAATGACATTGGACTCCACTGACTTTCACTTTCATTTAATTTCGAAGTAAAATAGTAAAAAAAAAAGATATATAAATATTATATATATATATATATATATATATAATCAAATGAATAAATAAATGCAATTAAAAGTTTAATTATTTTACTCTAATTTTTATGATAATTATTCAGTTTTCAAGTATGTAAAATATCTCTTTATAAGAGTTGTCATGTAAACATACCCTTAATGGGTTTTTTATTTTTACTCTAAACTTGTACTATTGTTTTTTCCCACTCCAAACCTCTACAAGTTTCTTTGTCATTTTTTGATAGATATTTATATTCTGTTTTCATCTATTCAGTGAAAGTCATGGCATTGGACTCCACTGACTTTCACTTCCATTTACTTTTTAAAAAATGAATAAATATGCGCTGCAATGATTTTTTTTTTTTTTTATGAAATCATTTAAAGGAACATTCTGATTTAGATTTCGTAATGATTATTTAGTTCTCAGTCATCATAATAAAGCGATATGATTTTTTTTTCTATTCTGTGTTTGTTTGGATTACCATTACTTCAACTTTAGAGTAAAAAAACACCAGAATATTAATTTAGATGACTCGATATTTTAACTGCTATATAAGAATGCGCAATTAGATTTAATTGCCTTACATGTCTGGCATAATGGCTTAAAATAAAGTGACTTCCTTGTGATTAATTCAAGGTTGGATAGATCTTTTCTCAGCTAAATGTACGAGACCCAGTGACAGAGGTTAGAACATTTAATGGAGGAGAATGAGGAGACCAAAGAGCCTTTGAGATAGAGAGCAAGAGGCAGAGACAGATTTCCCACACAAAGACCGGTCGCTCAGCAAAACGTACCATTCACACAGGACACAGACCTGATGTATGAGGGCTTTGTGTCATTATCATTACTTATAGATTAGGACTGATAAATAATTACACATGTTAAAGGGACATTGTTAATCACAACTGAATGTGCAAAGGCTGACAGCAATTTTCCTCTCATTTGGTTACGAAAATGTCTTTCATTAATATTTAGTCTGTTTAACCCTCTGAGTTAGTTTCGATTTAGGGGGGGTTTAAGACGGAATTAGCTTTAGTTTAATGTCCTATTTATACTGAACAGCGGATATAAAATCTCCCATCGCATATAAAATGACACAGCGATAAAGGATGTTAGTTAGATGCACAAGGGAGTCTGAAAATGACTTTTAGACAAATGTAGACATGAACTTCAGTTCACGTTCTTCTTGTGCATGTTCAGTAAATGAACGCACGCAGGCTCAGAAAGGTCAGTTTTCTTTTTCAAACAAACTGCAAGCGTATTTGTTTTACATTTAACATTTCGATGTGATGTTAGCTCAGCACACGAGCAGAAAAGGAAGTTTGCATATAGATGAAAAAGGTGCAACCAACCAAAAAGTCTGATAATCTTACACATACAGTGGAGCATTACTGCCCCGTATTCTTTAATAATTTGCTGACTCGGACGTCTGACATTGTTTCTGCACTTTAATAAGCGAGAACATTTCATATGGGGAAATCGTACACCATGCAGGATTCATCTGTTTACAGATGTCTCATGGGTCCAGAGATATTACACAGTTAGGGTTTTAGACTATAACGCAAATGGTTCGAATAATATCTTTTTTTTTTATTACACTCAAAGGGTTAAAAGGGATTTTGAAACTGATTTTAGTGGTTAGAGTTATAAAGAGCAATAGTCCCTTTAACTGCATGGGATTGCACATGTATATTTAGTCTTTAATGTAAGTTAAAGAGTTACTCGAAGTCAAAGGGGATCACAGAAGGAAAACATAAGACAGCAAAAAATAAACTATTTACAGACAGTTATTGCAGTTATGGAGCGTGGTTAGAGGGTTAGTCAGGGATTATGTTTAAGATTAAACCTTAATCTCTGAAGCGGTGCAGTTCTAACTTTGTTAGAAGTAAAAGTACAAGCCAACTCAACAGCACCAATTAGATTTATATTGCAAGTGGGCAGCCACAATTGAAGGTTTGCTTTGGCCCACGATCTGCCAATGTAAACTCTTTGTTTTTGTTTTTAGAAAGCGTCATTCTATTTAAGGGAACTGCACCTCTTACAGAGCCTTAATAAATCATTAAGTCATTGTTTAATTAATTCATTTTATTACCTTTGTCGAGTAGCCACTCGTCAACTACCCGACCAAGTCTGTATGGAATTCTTTGCCTGGCTATAGCAAGCCGTTCATTATCAATGTTCCCTTCAAAGAATTTAGAGAGACAGATAAGAGGTTAATATCTGGAAGTTGAAGCGTCACATGGTTAAAAACATGGCAACAGGACTATCAAGTTTAGCAAGTTAGGAAGTCTAAACGAGCTTTATGCTGGTAGTTATGTTGTTTTAAGGTGGACTGCACTTAGTTATTAGACAGTTTAGCAGCTTGACACTAATTAGAGCATGTTTAAATCTGTTTAGAGGACATATTTAGAGATTGTTTATCTTCTAATTTTTGATCTGGTCGATTGTGATGTCATCTCAGCGAATAATACTTGAGGAAAATTTCATGCAGTCAATAGGACAACAATGATATCAGTGATAATGTCACATTTTAGAGTGTGCGGTTATACAATGGTTACTGCTCTGGAAGACATTTTCTGGTCTCTGCAAGAAATCAGTGAGAACAATGCAATCAGTGCTGCATCTAGTATCAAAATCTCGAGGTACCTGCATAAATTAGGACATGTGTAATTATAAGAAGACACAGAAGCTGTAATTGGCTTGGTGTCATGGCTGCCAGATAAGAGACGGCGTGTATCTAGGCTCCTCACTTCCCTTTTTCTGACAGATCCCTTCATCAGAGCTGAAATGAGCTCTCGGGTCCTGTTACTCACTCAAAAGTACAATCTCCTCATCCCGCTGTTTTCTCTGCTCAGCTCTTCAGCACAATCCTGTCAAAATCCACAAGTCATCCTAATACCCCTTTATACCGCGGCCTGGTCATTGTTTGCCACACAGTGACGCTGATTTCCTTCCAGACATGACAAATAAAGCTGTGGATTGGGCCAGAGATCCTCTGAAGATTTCACTGAACTCGGTACATGGGTCAATGATACGCAAGAGAGTTCAAGGAAAGGAAATATCTTCATAAAACTAACTTTAAAACATCTGACAGCTCCTTACATAAGAGGACTTTGTATTCATGTTGCTTCATGCAGTTTAATATTGAAAAACTTCAAGGTATCTTACAAAGTTTGTCTGTCTGTCTGTCTGTCTGTCTGTCTGTCTGTCTGTCTGTCTGTCTGTCTGTCTGTCTGTCTATCTATCTATCTATCTATCTATCTATCTATCTACCTGTCCGTCCGCTCGTCTGTCCGTCCATCCGTCTGTCTGTCTGTCTATCTACTATCTGTCTGTCTGTCTGTCTGTCTATTTATTTTCTGATCTATCTATCTATCTATCTATCTATCTATCTATCTATCTATCTATCTATCTATCTATATATCTATCTATCTATCTATCTATCTATCTATCTATCTATCTATCTATCTATCTATCTATCTATCTATCTATCTATCTATCTATCTATCTATCTATGTGTCTGTCTGTCTGTCTGTCTATTATCTGTCTGTCTGTCTGTCTGTCTGTCTGTCTGTCTGTCTGTCTGTCTGTCTATTATCTTTCTGTCTGTCTGTCTGTCTGTCTGTCTGTCTGTCTGTCTGTCTGTCTGTCTATCTATCTATCTATCTATCTATCTATCTATCTATATACTGTATATACACCACACTACTTTCAGATTCTCAAACCATTACATAATGTTTCTAAATCTACAGCACACATATAATGAATACAATTACAGTTTTTCTCAGTGGCTTTGGTGCATTTCTCACAACACGATTTACATTTGCACAAAAGTTGATTCATTTCCAAAAACAATTAGTTAATTTTGCACATTATAGTAGCAGTTTCTCATTCCTTTCAACACACTGCAAATGCTTTTGGACACGCATCAATTGCTTTCATGCAACTCTCTGCTATTTATAAGATTATCATTTACTTACGTCAAGTCAGTCAAAATAAACTAAACTTGTAAATGCTGAATAGTCATTCCATATAAAACTAATAGTCCTCATTTTATTACCTGAGTCATTACATACAAAAATGTTGAACTAGTTGTCAAAATCTATCAAGATAATTTTATAAAATTTTTCAAATCCTTTTTTTTCATAAGATGTCTTCTACATTGAACAGTTTCATGAATTATTTACAGACCTGTGTATGTTGTACGTTCAGTTCCAATATGTTCTGCAATATTGTTTACGGTTGTGTACATTTCTACCCAAAGGAAGTTTATGCTTGATGTAAATAAGGGTGTATTTATTCTTTTGCAGAATGCTTTGATTAAATCAGAATTGTAAAGAGCAAATGCAGTAAAAATGTGAAACACACAGATTCAGTGTCTTGTTCTGAGATACCTCACTAAATGCAGTGATGTCTAACTTTACTGTATTTTATTTTTCAAATGGCTGTGCAAATAATATATAGTGCTATATAGAGCATTTTCAGGAAATGTTACCAAAATCTAACTTTATTGCTTTGAAAAAAAATTACAGAGTAAACTGTCATAATTAAAACATGACAAAGCCATTTGACTTGAATAAACAATGGCATTAGTACTTTTCATCTTGATTGATATGACATGAATACTTGCTTTGAGGAGCGAGCTATCCATTTTGAGCAAGTGACACACTTTTGTAGGGTATCAACTAGGTTTTGCAGTTTGCACTAATTGTTTTGAGAAATGCATTAACTGTTGTGCAAATGTAAATAGTATTGTGAGAAATACACCAAAGCAACTGAGAAAACTGTGATAACTTGTAAAAATAGCAATAAATAATATGTATTTTTAAGAATTTAAAAGATTAGAAAAGATCTTTACAGTTGATTTATTTAACTTGCCCCTAAGAAATACAAATGCCAAATACAGTTAATCTCAATTACTTTAGCACATTTTTTAAAAGAGACTTAACATTCTCTAAACTGTGATTGCAAACGTCAAAACTGTTTGCTGGATTCTCAGAACTTTATTTCATGTCTGCAAAATGTAATTACTCCCCCAAACTAAATTTCATTCATGCTTCAAATCCTAGTTATTGTTTCAGTAATTTGGCCAAGGCCACCAAAACATAAGGTGTATTTGTCATTGCGTGAGCCACACTGCTCAAAATGATTGTGTTTTCACCATCACAGTCAACCATGAAAATTAAGGTTTAAAAATGTCTGATATTTGTTGAGAAGAGTCAACAGTCTCAAAAAAAAAAACATTTTGTATTTATACAGTACATGTATTTGTGGACAAATGTATTTCATGCAAAGTGCAATCTTGCTTGTCCAATTACTGTTTTGTATACTTCATATTTCTTACCATTTTTCTTGTATGCTTTGACCTGGTTAAAGAAACTAGGTTCCACCTCATTTTCATTATCACTATCCTAGCAGAGCAGAAGACAGGTCTTGCAAGTATGTAAACCCTTTCTCATTGGGTTGACACAATTTCCCCAACATTTTTCAAAACAGTTAACACGGATGTCATTCAAGGAGTCCAAACTCCATTGTTTTAGCTATGGTAACTAAACAGAAACCATCGATTCCTAACCATTAGAAACTACCAAGATCAATATGAAATCACTGAAGCAATGTTTTGACACTCCTTCTCACAAATCTTCAATTAGCAATCAGTTTGCAAACATTAAAAACGGTGGAAGGTTTGGGTTGTTCTGTGCCAGCATGCATGGAGGAGGTCAAACAATGGCTATGTCCTATATTTCCAATAGATTTGAATGTATATTGGTTTACATGTGTTTTCTCTAATATTTACAGCATTTTATTACTTTTAGTTTTTATATTTTAGTATTTCAGTTTTCAGCGACAGTTGGAAATATACAATATAAATTTAATCAAAGCATTTCTTATTCTGAATCCAATTCTTTGCAAAAAGGCAAATTTGACAGCCCAAACAGAAAGACAACAAATGGCATTGGCAATAGGCTACAATGGCAAGCAATGGCGCACTGATTCTCACTGAGTTCTGTATTTTGTATTTTGTTGTCCATTGTGTAATGATTGATTGAAAGAGCTCATAAACTGGTTTGCAAGTTGTGTTGTTTGAAGGCAAAACTAGCTTTTGTTGCACATTTTAAATGTTTTGCACAGTATGTGTGTTTTGCAAGCAAAATGTGTCATTTTGACCAAGAGTGCTGCTTTAGGCCTGTGTGTTAACTGTTTTGAAAATGTGGAGTTTCAGTTGACAGCTGCATCAAAACAATCAAGAAAAACTGTACCTTACCACAAAAAACTACAAGCATGTTTCTGAAGTTCAGGTTTGTAAATGTAGTGATTGTGCTATGGGCAATATAGATTTGGTACTATATATGATAAATCAGCCTAATTGTAAGAGAAAACGTAAGTATTTTACATTTTGTCAGTTGAGTGGCTAATTCAGTCAGAGTTCAGTCGTACCAAATTGTACTATTTTAAAAAGGAGGTGTGGCACCTAACCTTACCCCTAAACCCAACCGTCATTTGGGGATGAGCAAATAGTACAAAATTTTATGAATTAGATCGTAAGAATTCATACGAAATAGCCACTAAATCAAAAAGTTGTGAATTGCCGTGAGATTGTGTTAGATAACACAAATTGTATTGCAATTAGAGGTAATTTACCAATTTAGCAGACATTACAAACAATGTCAATGTCAGATAATTATAGGAGTAAACATATGCATATACAAATGTTTGATAATTAAATAAACTATTTTGAGTGTGATGGCTTACACAATGAAAAATGATTGAGAAGTTGTGAAGAGTCTGACAGTTTAAATGAGAACTGACTTATCAGTTTTGATCAACAAGCCATATGCAATTAGTTTTTGCCCAAGCTATAGAAAATTGCACTTACTGTTTGCAGACATCTGCCAAAGCATTTGCAATTTGCTTTAATCAATAAGAAATGCCATTCTGAAGTGAACAATAAGCTAATTGTTTAGAGATCTAAACTTAAAAATCAACTGAGAATTGAGCCAAAGCAATTGAGAAAAAACTGTGAAGAAATGATAAAAAACATGAATAATAGGAGGTATTTTTATATCATTATAAATCTTGCATTTAAAAAAATTAATTATAACATAAAAACTTACTGTATGACTACTTCATTGACCCAAATACTGTTAAAGTGCAGACATTCAGTCACAGCCATTAATAAGTAATTTTTTGTTACCTTAAAAGTTTTCTTTCTAGAAGGAAAATGCTAGTATGTCAAGCGTTAACTGATTTTTTTTGACAGCGCATTCTGTCACATCCTTGCATGACAGCCGTGAGAGATACAAGCCTTCCGCTTGTCCTACCCATCCTGCACCTGAATGAGGGCCAAGACTCCCACTCCTATAAGCCTGTTATAAGAGCTAACGTGTGGCAAATTCTGTGCTGAATCTTCAAAGAAAACTTGAAATAGGTCTTGTCCTTAAGTAAGCAGCAAAATAAATAAATAAATAAAAAAAGTGAAAACAAACCCATCCGTCCAATAAAGTCCTTCTTGATGGATTGCTATTCATAGGCTTTCACTAGATTCCTATTTATGAGCGAAACCCCCCCACAAAAAATGAATGGTCAGTAGCACCTGTGTCCACAGGGACTGGCAAATCTGCCACCTGGAACATATCCGGTCATCTAATCCTCCGTTTTAATTAACTGGCTTAATCGAGCCTGTTAATCTAAGCGATAAACAGCCTGCTTCGTTTACACACACGAGCTTAGCGAATGTGGGATGACACGCAAGACCTATATCATGGCTTTTTTAAATCCCCGGGATGACAGGTGCCACATAAAAGCCGGCCCATTCCATTTAAATGCGCATAACTCAGATTTAAAGGAAGCATGACATGATTGTGACGACTTGGAAGCCGGGCTTTATCCCTGCACTTTGGAAAGGCCTTCTCGCCACCTGAGGGGGCTTAGAGGGAGACCTGGCAGATGGGAAGCCTATGTCGCAGCAGTAGAAAAGCAATTTCCCCTTTCAGAAATCAGACGAAATCTCAAGCCCGAGCCGCAGGGACGAATGCAGCGCCATTCAACCTCTGGCAATTTCCAGACAAGACCCCACATGTGGGGGTGGAAGGAGCGTAGCAGGTGAGGCGGCGCTTTATTTGGCTAGAGCTAAGGACTTCTTGACGTCGCACTAACCTGGCGTGAAGCAGCAAGCGATTGAAAAACCAGGATGGGCAAGACAGGATTGCTATTAGAGACGGAGAAAATGTCTTCCTGTGGAACAGCAGCTATGAGAGGAAGGCAGCTCCCTGAGCACACAGTGGGGAGAGAGAGAGTTTGCTCAGGTTTAATTGGAAAGCACACAAGGCCAGGGGACCGCAGAGCCAAATGTTTGTAAAGGACGGGGACGGTTCATGGGATGACTATTGCAGGGCTGAGATCATCAATCAGGACTTGTTATAAAAGTTTAAGGCTGTGCAATATCAGTTTACACCGTCGACTCGGGATATTCAAGAGCGCCGGGGTTCAAAGAGCAACCTGCGCGAGGCATTTTGGCTAACGCTTAAAAATGAAAGCGTGCTTTGTGGTTCAAAGTTTGCACGCAGTTCAGGGATGGAGGATCTACAGAGGCGCAGAGACACCTTCCTCAGCCTGCCTAGAGCGAAGCTGGCTGAAGTCGAGAACTGTAAAGGATCCAAATCCATCTCGGGCTGCATGTATTAGGCAAGGCAGCTTGGGGGGAAATGTGTCAATTTGCAATTGTTATTAGATTGTGCACACGGCGGTTATCTGGGCGCTGCATGTGGTGACTCAGAAACTCTCTGGGAAGAGTTTGAGGGGGAAAACAGTGCACTTCAAACCCAAATCATTCGCATTTGAAATTATAAATCAATTTGTACACTTCAATAAGGGTAAGAATCCAAATCTGGGGCGAGGGCTTCAAACAGCGTCCCTCTGATTTATGAGTGTTTCTCTCTGACCTCCATGTGTCCATTCCCAGAGGAGCTGCTCCCAGTATATCTACCAACCACATGTGTAATGGGATTCCCCCCCCCGTCCCCAACCCTGATGGCTTTCCCCATTCTCCACGTGGTCCTACCTGACGGGAAGCGCTCGATGACGGGCTGGTTGTCCACTTGGAGGGTGGCGTTGCCACCGCTACGCGTAAAGCGAACCACGTGGTACTTGCCGTCGTTGACAGTGACCGCAGGCTCGTCTATGGTGATGTCATCTGTGCCCACATTGAAGATCACACCAACCTTTCCTTGTTCCTGTGTGGGAATGGACAGTTTGTTTAGACATTGGGAATAAGTCATACTTGTTGATAAGTCAGAATGACTAGCCAATTGAGATTGTGAGCATTTCTGGACTTTAAGGGTGCTTTCACACCTGAGGATCAATTCTTTTGTTGCGAAAAAAGGATTACAATTTTTACATTGTTGCACTTTGTTCTTGGTGCGCTTCACTTTCATACGGCAAAGCTTCTAAGCAGACCAAAAGAGCCAAAACAAGTCACTTGTAAGAAAACTCTCCTTACATTGGTCAGAGTTTCACAATTTATTTGTGTCTTGCTCGGCTGTCATGCATCCTTATTTTCTTTTTATGACGATGAGCAATAAGACACTATAAGCAAAAAGGTGCGCTTTCATTATGAATGGTGACACCCACAGACATCGTCACCAGATATAAATCAAAGGTAAGACTTTCTCATACATAGCAGTTGGCTTGTGCATTATAGGCTTTACAATATAAAGAGAAATAACAGATTGACCAAGACTGCTGTTCGGTCAATTTTACTAACGGATAAACAGCTGTCATGAATAGTTAACACGCTTTTACTTTCGTATTTTACATGAAGCGCAATTACAAGTAGGAATGAAATCCCACCCACAATTGATTCGCTCCAGAGTTTGTTTCAATTAAGCCAAGACCACCTCATTCAGGCAATCTCGGTCCGATTGTTTTCCGATCCAAGCGCGATTGCTGGATTCACATATGCCAAACGAATCGTACTAACTAGGGAAACGTGCAAGGTTCCGAAACAAATGTCTAGGCGTGAAACCGCCCTAAGTCTAAATGAACAATTCCTTTATGATACAAAAATGTCCAACAGAGTAAATACATGCATCAAAGAATTGTTTTTACTTGTATTAGATTTGTATTAGATTTGTATTACTTGTATTAGATTTTTATTATAATTTTTAAAAATGTAATTCTGTAATGGGAATAATCAGTAAATTAATTGTCAGAATCTTTTGTTTTTCTACAAGTATTTGCATGCAAGACTACAGCTAGCTTTATTATAAACAATAAATCAATCAATAAATAAACAAATAAACAAAAAATTAAATATTCTGCTCACATGTGATATTAATTTATAATTATGATTTTATAATTAAATTATTTTCATTATAATTATATAATTATATCAATTATTATATTATTTGATTCATTTATAAATAATTATTTTCACAATAAAAAACTCCTTACAAAAAATGAAAAAGAATAACAACCAGTGCATTTTACACTAAAATGAATCTTTATTAACAAATGGCCTTGATTAAAAACAAGTTTGATTGACCTATGTTTTCAATTGTAAAATTAAAAAGAAAACAAATACAAAACCAAGACATTTCTCCCAAGATATTATTAATTATTTTTGTTTATCTGGACATGAAAAACAGCTCAAATCCAATAAATGAAATAAACAGCAAATATAAAAACAAGTACTTGCTGAAAATATACTGTGAATATTTAAAAAGATGCAAAAATAAATACTTGATGATAAAAAAGCTTCTTAGATATGACATGAAAAAAGTACAGTAGTTAAAGAAGTTAAAATTTGTTAAACACAAAATCAACCCAATGACATAAAAGTGCCCTAAGTTGAAGAAATGCATTATTTTTTGCTTTTCAGTGACACTTTAATTAGTGCGCTGACAGCTAGACAGTTTGTAAACACCCCCTACAAACCGAGTATGATTGGGTTCAAGTGAACCCGAACCAAAGAAGCCCTTTAATTACACAGCGCTTTCTTCAAGACCAATTAGTTGACTAGTTGTTCAGTCAACCCACCGCCAAGTCAATTCTGAAAATATACAGTGCTCTACACGGGTACAACAGATAAGACCTAAACAACTAGAAAAACCTCTGGAGCACGAAGCAATTTAAAACATGGATATTCAAAAATGTATTGGATATAAACGAAACGAATGATGGCTAGAGCGATGGGAAATATCTTGTGAGCAAAGAGAAACATCTGGTCATGCTACAGCGCCTCACCCTTGGGAGAAGAGCTCAACAGTGCCCTTTGTAATGCAGGAAGGGAAATGGTGTGTGGCTCCATGTTTTGCATTCATCAGTCTTTCTCACAGAGGCGCACAAACTTACGCACACACTGGCTACTGACATCCTGACACGTATAACTACTGACAGTTTCCTGCTGTTTTCATTTTAACGGTGATTCATTCCCTACCAAGAACACTTCCATCTGTCCCCAGTCACCTCTGGGTGGAGCACTTGAGTGCACAGAGCTTCCAAATTGCTACTTTGCACTCATTGGAAACATGAAGTCACAATGTTAGCATCGATCAATTCTGCAGCTTTAGCATGGTTTATCAGATTCTAAAAAAAAGCCAAAACAACATTAACTATATAAAAATGTGTCCAACCATATTCTTTACAATGGAGGAGAATAAATTATGTGGCTCCTAGATTAAGAAGGTGCACGCTGCAGAGCAACTTGGGTGGAGCTCGCCTCAAGGGGAGCTTGAGCTCCAGCTACTCCTCCTATTAGCGTATCCCTACCGCCACCCTAACCCCAACCCCCAGTGACATCACTTGTAGAAGAAGTGCAGCAGGGATGAGCTGGAGCTCAAGCTCGCCTTTGCTGGAGCTCAGCTCTGCCCATGTGGCTCTGCAGTGAGTACCACTTGCCTAGATTTGCATTCATGAATTCACACTGGCTACTTACATCCTGACATGCATAGCTACTATTATTTGTTGCCTCCCAAGAACCCCTCAACATTTCAAATATACTATGTTGTCAAGTGACGGGAGAAATTAAGCTTTTTAAAGCTACAAAACAACTGAACTAATTTCTTTGTGAAATGATTCACCATTTTATAGTGTTCAAAACAGCACACCTGGTGGTCAAAATTGCATAAATGCAACAATGCAATAGAATGGAAAGGGTATTAAAAAGTTATTAAATTCATTCATTTTCTTGTCAGCTTAGTCTCTTTATTAATCCGGGGTCGCCACAGCGGAATAAACCGCCAACTTATTCAGCAAGTTTTTACACAGCGGATGCCCTTCCAGCCGCAACCCATCCCTGGGAAAACTGAAAAATCCTACTCAAGTAAAAAAAACATTACTTGCCCATAAATGTAGTGTAAGTAGAGTAAAAGTATCTGTCGTAAATATTACTCAAAGTATTAGTAAAAAGTAGCCCTTTTAAAAGTATTCAAGAGTAATGAGTATTGAGTATTATGCTGTGAAAAGCAGATGCGTTTACACTACCAGACAAAAGTCTGGTCACATATCCAAAATTTAGGAACAACAAATAATAACTTGACTTCTGTTTGATCCAACGGTATCAGAAGTGGCTTACATTAAAGAAAAAGGCCTTTAGGTTATGCTTATTTGACTAAAATAAAATATGATCATGCCTTGATTTTTTTTTTTTTTTTTTATTAGGACAGTACATTCTGACTTTGCTTAGACAAAAGTCTTGTTAATTAACAGAAATAATGTGAGTATTGAATATAAAATCATGGTGCAGTGGAAGAATAATTAATCTTGTGTATGACTCTCATTGGCTTGGACTGCATCCATACATCTCTGCAATGACTCAAATCACTTATTAATAAAGTCATCTGGAATGGCAAAGAAAGCGTTATTGCAGGACTCCCAAAGTTCACCAAGATTCTTTGGATTCATCTTCAATGCCTCCTCCTTCATCTTATCCCAGACATGCTCAATAATGTTCATGTCTGGTGACTGGGCTGGCCAATCCTATAGCACCTTGACCCTCTTTCCTTTCAGGAACTTTGATGCGGAGGCTGAAGTATGAGAAGGAGCCCTCTGCTGTGGTTTGTAATGTAATGGGCAGCACAAATGTCTTGATACCTCAGGCTGTTGATGTTGCCATCCACTCTACGGATCTCTTCCATGCCCCCATACTGAATATAACCCCAAACCATGACTTTTCCTTAATTCATTGGAAAAATATCTACCTACTGCCACTTTTCCAAATGATCTACTAGAAGTCAAGTTATTATTTGTTGCTCTTACAACTGGGATTAATGACAAGACTTTTGTTGGGTAGTGTACATGCAATTTGTCCGTGTGTGCATGAAAACGTAAAATTCTGTAGTGCATTTAGTTATTGTTTAAGACTATTTGGTGATTTAAGCCTTCATACAGTAAACATCTCTCATTTCATCTGTGACATGCATACTAAACTGTCTTTGGGTCATTGAGATTTTAGACACATTTAATGCATTTAGAAAGCATACATGTCTTCAGGTTGTTCAGTATGATGCTATTTACTGCCTATGTGTGATTTCATTGGACAGGAATCACAGGACTTATTTTTCTACTACAATCACCCTAGACAAGAAAAAAATCGCGTAGTTACTGCAGGTTGAAGGAAAATAGTGGAGTAAAAGTACTGATACAGCACTAAAAATGTACTAAAGGCAAAGTAAAAGTACACATTTTTAAAACTACTTAGTAAATTACAATTCAGTTACTCAATTACAGTAATTTGAAAATTTGTAATTGGTTACTTTATACCACTGATCTCAATGAAGAAGAAGAAACGGTGTCTGTCTCACAGAGGCACTCACATTTTCACACAAACTGGCTTCATGCATCCTGACATGTATAACCACTGACAGTTTGCTGCTGTTTTGTTTTAACAGTGATTTATTCCCTCCAATAACCCTTCCACCTGCCACCAGCTACCTCTGGATGGTGCACTTGAGCATTCAATATTTGTGAAGAAATGCTGCCTTGCTCTTGTGGGGAACATCGAGTGACACTGTTATCATTGAATGCGTTACTATTCTGCAGCTTTAGCATGGTCTGCTATCAGTCTCTGAAAAGGGCCAAAACAACAAGAACAATAAAAAAAGTGCTTTGTGTTCTCTGACACAAAGCCAGGGATTGATAAAACTTCCACACACGTTTAGAGTTTGGATATATTCCTTCCTTCCTCTGACCTCAACTGACAGGTTCTCATTGAGATGCTGATGTCTGACAAATA